GGCAGGGGGGCCGGGGGCGGGTGCTGCCGCAGCGGGGGGCGATCGGGGAGGGGGAGAAGGGGGCTGGCGAGGTGGGCTGGAGGGGAGTGCGGGTGGGCGCGAGGGGGGTTTCTCCAGGACCGTGTAGCCCCCTGGGATGGGATCTGTTTGAAGGGGGCCGCGCCATGTCCTGGGGGGACAGGAGGTGCGTGCCCCACGCGGGAGCACGGCTCACCTGGGAATGAGGCAGTGGGCTGCTGTCATCACCCACTTGGGCCACACCAGGAAGCCCCCGCAGACGTGCTGCCCGTCCATCTGGATGGAGGCGATGAAGGGCCGGGAGTGGGGTGCCACCACCTTTCCTCCGATGATCCGGCTCCCCTGGGTCACTGGTGGGTGGGTGGGTGCAGGCGGTCACGGGCTGCTGGGGAGCCTGGGCACGACTGTCGCCTGTGCCTGTCCCGCTCCTGGCTGCATGTCCCGAGCACCCCAGCACTGCCCGTGGGTGCTGGGGAGCGGCTGAACATCGTCTCTGGCCGAGGACGGCTGAGCGTGGCATGGCAAAGCCTCCCCTGCACCGCAGTGCTCCAGCCCGGGGTCTCCATCTCCCGCCCTGGCCGCGGGGACCAGCCCTGCAGCCCTCTCAGCCCCAGCTCTCCCCTTACCTGCTGGGGCCAGTGCTGGGAGCAGGATGGAGCCTCCCAGGGTGAGGATGAACAGCCCAGCCGTGACCATGCTGGCGCAGAGCAGGCCACTGCCACCTCCTCTGGGGCCGCTCGGGGTGGGGGTGCTTAAATAACTCTGGGGGCTGAGCCTCTGCCTGGGTGCCGGCGGGTATCTCCCTCCTGCTTCTTCCTCTCTGGGTGCTGCTGCCTTGTGCAACTGCTGCGGGGTGGGGGGCACCGGCAGCGCAATGCTGCGTCGGGGGGTAGATGCAGCTTTGCAGGTTTCCCCAGAGTGGCTGCTAGCTGCGGGGAGAGCGGATTGGGGAAGGAAGAGAGAGAGAAGAGCAGCTTCCCAACCCAGTCCTGGTTCCTCTTGTGCCTTGAGCTCATCAGGATGACACCCCTCTCCTCTTGGCAGAGCAGTGGGAGCAGCAGGGCCCCACCACATCCCAGGACACCTCCCAGGACGTGGCAGTGTCCCTGGGGCTGGCCGGCAGCCGGGCTGCCGTGGGTCGCGCAAGGACTGTGCTGTGCTCAGACCTGATGCATCTCCCGGCCTGTCCAGAGATTGCCTGGCTCCGAGATGGTGCTTGGGCAGAGGGGCAGTTTGCTCCCCCTGGTCTGCATCCCCCTGGGGTGCAAGAAGGGCTGCAGGGTGTGCCAGGGTGTGGGTGCACCGGGGTGGGGGACGGGGGCCCCACTGCTGGGGCACCCCTCCCTGACGAGCCGGGCTTGCTCCCGGATCAAGCACGGAGCTCTCGCCCTGGCAGCGGGCAGATTTCCTAACGGTGTCGCGGTCGGAGGCTGGCTCGGGTCTTCCTGTGTCAGTTTGCCAGCGTTTGCCCAACGCGACCATCGCGTTGGGAAACAGAGGAGCGGGGAGGGGGGACGCGCAGCCCGGGCTCCCCCCTTCTCCATCCTGTCCCCGCTCACCCTTTGCACCGTCAGGGCTGCGGGCCGGGTCGCGGGGGCCCTGGCGCTGCGGGAGGGGTGAGCGTGGCCTTTGGCCAGGGCAGCGCCCGGGGCGGGGACCCTCCTGG